CACACACACACACACACACACACACACACACACACACACACACACACACACACACACACACACACACCGAAGAGATGAAAGGGCTGAGAATCGATTAGGACAAATCAAAGCTTATCTGAGCCAACACGTCCCTTCAGACTAAACTCTCTGACCCTCTGTCAAAATTGGAAAGATTTGTAGGGAGCCTTCCGGTGTTAGTATGAGATGAAATATTCAGAGGGTTCTCTGTGATCAATAGCATGTGTAACTCCATCCTGAAATGAACTCGCAACAATCAAAGCACGCCTCACACAAGGTTATTTAATGCACCAGACGCACTGTGCGCCAAATATTGTGCCAAAATTTCTGCTTTCGTGGAGATTTGAAATAAACTCGCGGTGAGGCTCTCTGACCCAGGAAGAAACCCGCTGAAACGAAGACGTTACACGAAACACTTTCGACAGTATCAGTAAGATATAAGTTTAAAGCGTAAGTGTAAAGCGCGAATAAAAATTTATGGCAACAATGATGAACACTAATGGAAGCAATATCTTCAAAATACGGAGCTTGACTGCATGCCATCACTCGGAGCAGCTTGAGTTATTCACTGGGGAATAAGTAGGATGTTTACAAGGATAGCTGGTAAAGGTTTATTACCAGGGGAGTCATAAGGGTCCTGTTTGTTTATGCAGTATAAATTATTAAGAATATCAAAGACGAGGGGGGAAAAAAAGGAAAATAAAACATGAACTGAGAATTAGCTCCTGTTTACTGAGTTGTTTTTAGACTTTTTATAAGACAAGAAGTTTGGTTTGAACACATGTCGCTGAGTGTGACGGTTAGAAATCATCACATATGTAGGTTAATAAGGCACATATATAATACATATGTGTGGTGTCACTAACGACAGCCTGTGTAACATGCTAAAACACTTAAAAGAGGTGAATGTTCCAGTCTTAACATTAACTAGAGTGACTGATCCTGGCCTGTGGAGCTTAATTCCCCCTCTTGTCTGTTACAATGCTCCTTTGTATTAACTACTGGAAATTGAGAGAGACACTTTGTAAAGGTGTTCTGTGTGGACGGCTGTCAGAGCGCTCTCCGCGGTCTGGGACGTGGTAAGGAAAGAGGTTTCAGGTGTCACAGCCCTGCCGTTGCCATGGTAACAACACACTCCACTTTTCTTCAGCCTTTGGTGAATAAAAGGCCTTTTGAAAACGTCTTTATTTGAACAAAAAAGAAAGCATGTTACTCATTGTGTGTATGAATTTAGTCTAGACGGAGGCAGTAGGCACAGTGAATTTCACCCCGAGGGTGAGGCAGGGCGGTTATGTGCCAGGTTAGCTGAACTTCTTTTTTTTATGCCATGTCAAGCTGACAGAGGTACGCTGTTACATCCCGCTGTTAAAACGTTGCCCCCTTTTTGCCCTCCCAGCTTGGTGTCCAGCCGTTTCTCCCCTCACATGGTCACTCCACCTCCGCACAGCCTCCACCAGACCGGCATTCCTCATCCGGCCATAGTTTCCCCGGCCATCAAGCAGGAGCCCAGCGGTGACATCAGCCCCTCGATGCACGCGTAAGACGATTCAGCAAAACCTGCCTTCATTGCTGCTCCTCGTTATGCTAAAATCTACTCGTGCTTACTCGGTCATTCACACGGCTACTTTCATTCTTGTTTTGGATTAGCAGAAAGTCCCCCGTTCCTGCCAAGAAAGAAGAGGACAAGAAGCCTCATATCAAGAAGCCTCTGAATGCTTTTATGCTGTATATGAAGGAGATGAGAGCCAAAGTGGTGGCAGAGTGCACTCTGAAAGAGAGCGCGGCCATCAACCAGATCCTTGGAAGACGGGTAAGCAGTGCAGACAAAGGCGTTGGAGTTTACACATACATATATGTGTGTGTGTGTGTGTGTGTGTGTGTGTGTGTGTGAGAGTGTTTAAATGTCCTTTGATATACTCTGTCCACAGTGGCATTCCCTGTCAAGAGAGGAGCAAGCCAAATACTATGAGCTGGCCAGGAAAGAGAGGCAACTTCACTCCCAGCTCTATCCGGGATGGTCAGCACGAGATAACTATGTGAGTGGCACATTTCTGTTCTCAGGTTTCATATCGTGACTGGATGATGTTTAAATTCATTTCCCTTTAAAGTTCAGTCCAGCTATGACTATAGAAACTGCCCTTTTAATCTTTGAAGTGAAGTCGGTGAATTTTGTTTGCTTTCACTATGAAAAAAACTGTTTTTAACAGCATTGTTTCACGTGTGCAGGGAAAGCGGAAAAAGAGGAAGAGAGAGAATAAACCAGACTCAAAACCAGAGGGTAAGGGGCCATTTTCTTCCTGACTGGCTTTATTTGGTTTTTTTTCCCCTCTCACATTAGAGAAGAAAGAAAAATTGTAGGAACTAACAGCGAGGGCTTTATTTTTCTTGCAGAGCTCAAGCCCAACCTGACACTGCACATTTCTTCTGTTATTTTCTTTCCCCCTTTTTTTGTTTCTGCGTGAATTTTGTCCTTCGCTGGCTCTAACTAACTCCTTTCCCTGCTTTTATACTTTGACAAGCAGCTTATGAGGTTCATTGCTAATAGTGGTAGGTATGTCTGCTATTGTGCAATCAAGTTACCACGGCAAATTGGCCAAAAAAGGGAGCTTTTCACTCTTTAGTGCACATTTTGTGTACATTTTGTGTTGTTCCTCTTTTGATCCATGCACACATACCATTCGTATTATGCTGTGAACATCCTGTTTCAGTCTTCTTGTTGTCAGTTTAAAAAAAGGTCTTGTTTCTAACTTTAACATCGTGCTTCATTGCTTAAATAATCACTCATTCACTTCTGTCGGACGTGGCATAAAGGGACTTGCACCAGATTTGAAGTCAGCGGCGGATCCATAATTCAGTTTGCTCACTTTTCCTCGTTTCCCCGCAGACTTCTCGATAAGAAGCAAGAAGCAGTGCGTGCAGTACCTGACCTCGGAGAAGATGTGCGACAGCCCCGCGTCGTCACACGGAAGCATGCTGGACTCACCGGCGACTCCCTCCGCAGCCTTGGCCTCCCCCGCCGCCCCCGCTGCCACTCACTCTGAACAGGCCCAGCCGCTATCGCTCACCACCAAACCGGAGGGGCGCATGCAACACCACTTCTCGATACCCGGGAAAGCTTCCGGGTCCACATCCTCCTCTTCCTCATCCTCCTCTTCCTCCACCCCTTCCTCTTCCTCCTCCCAACCCACCATGTCCATCCCCGTTGGTACTTCAGGTAGCCAGTCAAACACACCCATCCTCACCCGGCCAATCCCCTTCACCTCTCTGCACCCCTCCATGCTGTCTCCCCCTTCGCCCTTCCACCAGGCCCTTCATTCCCATCATGCCCTGTTCCAGTCGCAGCCCCTCTCCTTGGTTACCAAACCGACTGAATGAATTCACAAAGGCAATTTTTCTTTCCTCCCCATTTATTGTGCTGTATATTGATTGCTTTTCTTTTAAAAAAAATAGTTATTAGAACAACTTTTTTTTCTAAATAATGAAAAGGATGAAATATTATTGGTCAATATTTGACCGTCTCCTTTTCTACATCTCTCAATGAAAACAAAAATGTATTTTTTGTAAAGTTTACTGCAGAACTGGTTTCTTTTTTTTGTTTTGGTTTGTTTTTTTGTTTTTGATGCATTTATCCAATGAACCTCTTGTATAAATGAACCAATGTACATAGTTTCTTTTATAAAAGCAAAAAAGAAACAAAAAACACACTTTTACTTTAGCCAAAACCTGATTAATGTTAGTATGAAGTTTAAGTCTTAGTACTGGCCAATAATTGCAACCCCCTTCTCCCCCCCAACCCCTCTTTTTTTTTTTTAAATTCACGAGTGTGTGCCCCTTCTCTGACATGTTAAATAAACATTTGAAATTGTTTCTTAAAAGAAATATCTCAAGTCTGTCTTTTCAATGCTGCTTCTGGTCGTTTAACAAGGAGAAATTGCTTTAACGAGGTGATGTGGTTTGGATTAGCGTTCCTATAAAAAGTGACCACAGGGCATGACACTGTAGGTGTAGAAAATCACATTTAAAGACAAGTATGATTTTATCAGGGCTGCATTTAAACTGGAGGGGGCAGCCAAACAAAAAACAAACACAGCTGTCATTTTTTTATGCCTGCATTATCCTTCAGCGCTAACGTGAGAACGTCTTCAGCAAAACCCTCCTGACGGTGGCAAAGACTTTAATGTTTAATAAAGCAGAATTAGGCTAACCACACTGGAAAATGAGTGCCTGAGCCAGGGTAATGGAAATTTCAAGCCCGGTATAGACGCAAATAAAAAAAATAATAGACATCTGCTCATTCTTGGAATGTGGCATCCCTCAACAATGACTAAAAGAAAAAAAAAGCAGGTCAACCCTCCATCCCAGTGCACCGTACCCTACTCGGGCTCCCCTTTCTTTCCTTTTGCACTTTTGCTGCATCTTTATTCACCGTTTGGCACACTGCTTAGGCTTTAATTAACTCAGAGGTAATGGGATGGAGCCCTTGGGACCTCATTAGGCATTTCAATTAGTGAAAAAATACACAAGGTAGGTTACAGTTTTTGGTGGCTTTGGAGATGAGTAGTAGTGCCAGGGATGGACCAATTATGTGGGAGCAGAGGGGGGGAGGCCGGCCAGGACGAGATAACTTGCAACCCCTCTATCTACCAATTTAACTTAAGCAAGATGTTACCTGCTGCAGGGAGCTGGGAAATGTTACTTTTTCACATGCATTTACATATAAAGAAGACTTAACGATAACATAGAGAACCATCTGTCTGTCTTAGCTGATTTTCTACATTCAGATGAAACATAAATAATCAATGACATTGTCACAGAGGCATCATCCATTTGCCGCCAGCAAAAAAAAGGTGACCTGTGTCATATATATTTTTAAAATTCACTTTAAACATTGTTGTAAAACTGCAGAGCGGTGGGACTGAGGATGCGTTTCTGTTTGGGGCCTTATATAGTAGAGGCACCAAACTGTCAAGTGTGCCCTGCTCTGTTTTAAGCAATCATTAGGCACAATAAGCATTTGCTTGTTTGCCATTCTATCTTACATCATTCCAGACACAAACCGCTCGTGCTCTGATGCCACGGCTGCCTGCTCTGAGCCACCTCACCAATCCATCAGTGAAATTACAGGTAATGAGTTGTCAAAACAGTCAGCAAATCTGTCTCCTCGAGGCCATGCATGCAGCCCGGCGTTCAATTCTCCAAAGACAGTACCCCTATTATGAAGCCCAGTCTCTAAGTGAATAAGTTCATATGTGCAGGTAAATACATTTCCATACCCGTGCCTGCTTATTATTGTTATTTTTTAAATGTTAAATTGGTCTTGCTATATTGAAAGAAATATTTTTATTTAATCACACCATCCACTTGAAACCAAACAGAGGCTATCTTGCAGTCAGCATGTAACACACGGCTGTTTATCTCGAGTAACGTGTCTGGATGCTGCTCTGCTCAACATCTGCCATGTAAAGCACGAGGTCAGATTTAATACATGTTAATTTTTGCTCATTAAATTCCTCCAATCTCTTGCCAAGGTTCCTTTTTTGGGCCTTCCTTTGATCTTAAATTTATTCCAGGTTAACCGTTTGATACTTTACTTGCGTAATGCTGCCTCTAGATCTCTTATCTGAGAAGTCACTTAAACTGTGAGCTGCAGCACATTTAAGGCAAGGCCAGTGTTTATGCATGAGCATAATCAGGAAAAAAAAGCTGAACCTATATCTGCCATTGACTCTGTGACCTTATATTCCTACTAATTACAGGATGCTTCACATGCGGTTTCCCAAAGTGATATTAATTGATTGTTTCTGTAGCATTCACTGAGCTGAGCAAGCCTCAGCTGGCTCGTTTGTGAAGACAGGTATGGCTGGCTGTGAGCTTAAGAACCTCCGTAATGTATTATTCATACCCATTTGACCTTAAAGATGGAAATGCAAATGGGTGTCAAGAATGAGAGGGATCATCGGACTTTTCAAATGTCAAATAGCCTGCCACAATTAAGACAAATTCATTACAAGAGCCTGAAGGTCTCCTGCACCCAACTGAGATGTAAAACACCTCTAATTAACATTTATATCATTATCTCAGAAACTGCTGAACATGTTCAGCTCCAAGGCCAGCGATATTGGTATTGTCATGGCTTTGTTTTGTGGTGTTTTATTTTGGCCATTGCTTACTAGAAGAAATGCTTTTCAATACCCTTTAAGTTTGGTTTAATGTAACAAAGCAAAGTTAACCTACATAGATAATGGCACAAGTAAAGTGTTTTTTTTTTAATTGCACTACATGCCAATACTGCCATCTGCTGATAAGGTGAAATGACACGCATGAAGGAAAAATATCAACAATGCCTACACTTAACCCGTGTGTGGCAGTATAACACAAATGAGACCCCCATCTCTTCTTCTATGGTGGATAAAAGACATTGAGAATAATAAACACAACTTTTTTTTTCATGAGGTCAAATAGGCGTGCCCTAAATTTGTGTAATGTGTGTAATTTTAGCGGTTTCCACATAGCTTTTAAATTAAACTAAGTCGAGTAAAGACAGAGCTGCCTCGAACATCCCTGTCTTTACTCATATATGGAATTAAATACAGCAATACCTGCAGGCATATTTGGAGGAAACGGGGGGATTTTCCTTTTCTCTGTTACAACAATGGTGAGACACTATGACTGGGAGCAGGACATGAAAAACTGTCCCTTAACCTATAGTGACACGTCTTTATCATAATTTAAGCACCAGAGATATTATAATTGATTATAAGTAAGCTGGAAAAAAAAGCTACAAGTAAATAAAAATAATAAATATAAAATAACTGTATCTTGTATGGTCACCACTGTTAGCCACAGGTCCTGTGAAGCCTTTCTTTACAGAGTTTGCACGTTATCTACATCCCGGTACTCTGGCTTCCCCTAACAGTCTAAAGACATGCATGGGATTAGGTCAATTGGTCATTTAAAATTGCCCATAGGTGTGAATGTGAATGCTTTTCTGTGCCTGTGTTAGCCATACAAAAGATTGGCCCCGCCCACCCTGCGACCCTGAACTCGATAAGTGGAAGAAAATAGACGGATTGACTTAAAAAAAAAGAAGAGAGAAATACATATTAGTGTTAGTGTCTGTTAATATGGCTTTCCAACAAAAGAAGCAAGGCGAGGTGCACATGTTTGATGACACTGAAAGGTTTTTCTATTGTAACACCTCATTTGAACGTGTCAAATCTCGCCCCACAACTACACCACCCCCGCAAAAACAAACAAATAAAAAACAAAACAAAAGCAAACCCAACTTAAACAAGCAGATCCACTTTGGTAGTGAGCTGAGACGAAATAAAATCATAATATTGAATCAAAAAATACAAAAGTATAATGATTTCGTGCCGTATACTACCATAGATGGGCTCTAGAGATTCAGCGGTGTCACAGGCTGAGCTGGGCAGCTGAAATGATAAAACTGCACAATAAGAAGGACGTGAAAGTAATGAAACCACAATCGCCACGCTTTCTCCGTCAGCACGTTCTTGTTATAAAAGCATGTAGCCTCTAGGTGGCACTAAACTTCACTCACGTGTTTACGATCGCAGAAGAAGAGAAATGCCAGCTCGTACACGGAAGCAGGCTGGATCTGTCAAACCTCTTGAACCTGTCGGCCTGCGTTTGTCAGCTCGGATTGCGTCGTGAGCTCTGAGGAGACGCAGCTGAAATTAGACGGATTCGGGTCGCGTTTCTTTGGCGTGTGGACACAGCCGACACGATGAGGACGGCTTTGCTGCTGCTCACTATATCTGCAATATTCCTGTGTTTCAGCTCCATCGGAGGTGAGTCGAGTTTTGTTTTTGCGTTTTTATTTGGCTTTAGGCCTGCGTTGGTTGAGCACTTATGGAATTCCCCACAATCCCTGATAAAGATGATAGGCGATATATGTCAAAACAGTCCTTTTTTTTAAATGGAGAAAGGAGAATAGACTGATTTACACCACTGTAGAAATAAATAAATAAAAAGAATAATAAAACAATAAAATGAGTAATAAAAACTCGTATATATTGCCACGTTAATGTGTTGACATTTTTTAAAACTGTAAATTTTAATGTTTTATTTTTAATTTTAATTGCATAATAGGTGCTATTTATTCTGTTTAGTTTTTTATTTGAGCTTTTTCTGTTATTTTAATAATCTTGACTTTTTCCTCATCCTCCTTGAGCAGTCGGTCCGGTTTAACAGGTTGGCTCACAGGTGTTACGTGAATAGGATATCCTTCTGCTTCTTAAGACCTTGGGAGGGATTGCGCTCATCCAGTCTCCTTTTCCTTCACCGCTTCACTTTTGCGATATAATTAACTTATTGTGATCTCTTGCAGGGGAATGTGTACTTGTGCTGTACTCTACTATACACATCTGTGCATAATATTCCCTGTCTTTACAGTGAATATAGCAAAATATGG